AAGAGGAAAGTAAAGAAGCAGGACCTACAACAAGTAGCACCCACCAACCGCGTGCAGATTTTCGTCTGTATAGCTGGGTTTTCATTTCTGAAAGGTTGCTCAGATAAAAGGGAAAAAAAAGATTGGAGATTATATTTTCTTTTGGTTTATCCTTTGCTTTCAGATTAACTGTGTTTGGTTTGGACACATTCAACTGCATATATGTATTCCAATACATTGCAGTAGCAGACCCAAAACCCAAAGACAACTAACCAAAGGTTGCAATGATAGTTGTTAATGTTCTACGCCCCCACTGACACAAAATAAATCATTCAGGAGTTGGGCTGCTTCCCCCCTTCCTATCAAGGTGATCCTGAAGTGAGACACACTAGCATCCCAGCAGGCAGATGGACAAAGAAAAGCATGCTGCTTCCAAAAATGGGAATCGAACTCATGTATTCTGTGCACAATGACAAGGAGCCTCACCATTACACTGCTGATATTTGTCAGACTAGGAGAAAAGTTTCAGTTTGAATTGCATTCATAAAGTCTCTACCAGTGTGGCTTTGTGTACCAGCCAGAGACATCAGACCACACAAAAGCAAAGAAAACCACAGTTGAAAATATCAGAAAGATGGCCCACCACGTTTCGCAATACATCTATAAACTTGTGCCAAACTGGAAAAAAAAAAAAATTACCCCAGTTTGCATCACACCTAAAAATGAACAGACTAGTCATGAAACTAACATACCTCAACTAGCAAAAATGCCTGTGAAAGTGTAATGAATTGAAAAGTACCACCTTCAAAATAATACCTGTCTCTGATCTGACAATGATTGTGATCCAAAACAACATTCCTGATGGCAATAAGTGACATTCGCACCAAAGAGCAACATTCACACCAAACACTGACATTCACTCCAAATAGCGACATTCACAAATATAAACACACTCTGAAAGTCCCCACATGCAACACCGTAGGAGTAAAGTTTGTCTGCTTGAGTAAAGAGAAGCACATCGACACAATAAAGGTCAGTGAGTGCAGGGGAGATGCAAGAAAGACAGACAGAAATAACAGATGGAAAGAAAAGAAGTAGGACCCACCGGTGGTGCCCTACAACCATCCATACACAAAAAAAGTTTTATAAGACCTGTACATAAAAGTCTTATGAATTAGACCTTGACATAGCTGCATAAAAATAACCCACATTAGGCTACGAGGAAAAAAACCAAAAGGGAACAATTTGGAATACTTGCAGTGCCAATACAGAACAGATATTGTTAGGTTATTGATACAATAAACAGAACAATTATTACACGTGTGTCTCGAGGGCAAAACGATCAACGAATCAACAAAACCGTTCTGTCATGGTCTCAAAAAACAGTTTGTGATGATAAGTATTATAAATAAGAGTAGTTAACAGCAATAATACAGGGTCGTAGTAGGACCGATGAGGAAATATAATTATAATAATAATAATAATAATAATAATAATAATGTTATTTGCCATTGATACATTTAGTTAAGGTAAGGTTTTGAATAAAACATGTCTCGGGTCATGGCGGACAGTTGTTTAAGCTCTCTCACTGTCCAGCAGCAAGGAAAAGGATGCATCAGAGAAAATACAATACAGATTGCTGCTCGTACAATGTGCAGTGTTTGTATAACATAATAATATATCTAGGGAACAAAATGGTTTATAATAAACACAACCTAAAAAACAAGTGATATAAAAACCCAAAGAATTAAACGTACGTACGCATTACACTTTACAAACAGAATTATGGTGCTTCAAGAAAATACGGTATAACGAAGAAAGAATGAATTTCAAAAAAAAAAAAAGAAAAAAAAAAAAAGGAAATTGGTTTGATAAACAGTTTGCAGTGAATGTAAACAACGACCTTTGGGCGTTACTGGTTGTATTATGTTCAGGAGTTTTGTTACATCCACAACAACATCATATTTTATACAGGCTTCCGTAGGCGTAAACTGAAAAAGTTTATCTGATATCGGTTCTTAACGCCTATGGAGAGGGGTGAGGGCCAGTTGGGGGGGGGGGGGGGGGGAGATTGGAGGAGGAATGCAAGGTCTCTTTTCTTACTTATCTTATTCATGGAAAAAAGCAAAATAAACTTCATGCAAGGTTGGCAGGGATACCGCGCCTGGAACTGAAGGATAATTCACTTCTTTTCATTTTGACAAACAGGTTTCTTGTCATGGAAACACCATCATCTCAAACTTTTATTGACACCCCTTCCCCTCCCTCCCAGTCCCACTCCCACCTCTCCAGCCTTAGTAAAGTAAACGAAATCTCACACAACTAAAGGTGACTTAGCCAGATGTTTTTTGCTTTTAAGGGAAGTTCATTGTAGCATTCTCAATCTTTCTAGAAGGTCAAACCCCTTTATTTTTTCCACCCCCCCTCCCCCCTCCCTCCCCCAAACCCTCATCCCTAAACTTATGCCTTATATTCGTCCCAGTCCAGTTTTTTTTTTTGCTGCCAATTGCTTCACTGACAACAAAATACACATACATGTACAAGCATGAGAACAAACATACACTAATTCACACAACACACATACACACACATGCACACACACACATGCACACACACACATGTGTGCACACACATACATACACATACACATACGTACACACACACACACATGCACACACACACATACGTACACACACAGACACACACACACATAAAGATTAAATCACATCACTACAGACTTCATCCACACATCGCTTCCGAATCTGTCACGGCTCATTCAATAAGTTAACACCTGAGATAAACTGCTTTCGTAATGATGAGAACCTCAGAGGTGTGACATGGTATGGCCAAATCTAACATCCGTTTCAACAATGAAAGGCAGTTAATGAAGAAGGACCTCCGATTCACCCTCCACCTCACATTTAAAGAGTTCAAAATCTACAGCTGGATTGTGCTCAAAGGTATGTGACTCACTGGGTCTATATGTCTTACATTCAGCTTTTTGTCCGGGGCATGTTCGATATTTGGCAAATGTTAGACACATGTGTTTGAGTGCCTGGCGAAAGGTTCCAGTTAACGGCAAAGCTATTTTTGAGCAAAAGGGTGAAAAGGCCAAAAACAAGTCTTACCAGGTAAAAATGTAGTTCCATCAGTAAACATATGTTTAACCATTTCTTAATGACATATCAAAAAGATTTAATAATACTTTAAGTCTAATTACTTTTTTCTATTATTTATTTTTGTTACATGTTGTACTCCATCAAAGGTTAAAAATGTGCTAGGAATTAGTTTTTTCACCAAACTTTGCTGTTACAAAATGTGGCATATCTTTAAAATTACTCTACATATTTTTAAATTCAGCGTGTCCAGCACTGAATTTGCTACAAGAATATATTATGCTTTATTTCAATATCCAAAATTTCCAACCACTGGGACCGTTCTCCAGGCTCATACACACATATTTCTAACAAGAATTCTCAGGTGTCTATGACTTTTTTCCTGTTCCCGCGGTTTTATGCAAAAAAAATTATGAAATTATGTAAACTGAGCCCAAAAATGTGAAATTATGCGACTCTGTTAATTTTAACAAAGAATGATGAGGGAAAATAATCAGAAATTATTTAAAAAATGATCAAATTTTGCAAAATTATGCGGGGTGCATAAAACCACGGGGATAGTAAGAGAAAAAGATCACAAGTCGCACAATGAGAAGGTCCCAGGATGCTTAAGGGAAAACACATAAAACACCTGCCACCCATCATGTGATAAAGAATATCAGAGGAATGCTGGAATTGGAATTGGCCAACATTTTTTCAAAATTTTGAGAAGAGTAGAAAAGTGTATCACCACCATCCGAGTCCTCCATGGTTTTACACTGCAGGGAGGGGGGGGGGGAACCTTTACAGAATCGAACAACAATAGTTATATAAAAACCATGTTTGGACAAAAAGAAAATTGTATTTTACAGTGTAACATTAAATAACACAGAGGCGACAAAAAGGGAACAATTCTTCAAATTTGCATCTCTCAACCAAAATATCTTATTTATATATATGAAGTTAAAAAAAAAAAAAAGAAGATATGTGTGAAAATATGAGCAACACATCGTATGAAAAGTATTTGGGAGCTGACAGGAGATAACACAAGGTCTCACAATGTTCAAGGCAATATCAGAAAACAACTTTGGCCATGGCTTCAGCGTCAATCTTGGCTCCTCCTCCTCCTCGGCTTGCTGTTAGCTGCAGTCATTCCAAGGCAAAAAACCTGCAGATGAAAACTGTCCACAACTCGAGAGGAACAACAAGAACTCAACACACATATTCATCATGAGAATCCAGGGGCATGAATATGGCTAGATATTTATGGCTCTTCTTTGAACAAGATAGTTGCTCCGGACGTAGGGACTTATCCCATTGATAAATCCATGCAGGTATAGATACAGACACTTTATTAGGCATGAGGGATTGTGTGGGGGAGTGGACAGGAGTGGGGGAGATAGTTTTCATGTTCCCAATAATCTTATCGTTTCAATTTTCATTACATGTTTCATCAATACGGTAAGCTTTCATATAATGATGATCGGCAGCCACTACCAGCCACTAGGAAAATCTTCTTAAGCTATATCCAAAAAGTATCCTTAGCATCTGGGTTTTTCATCATCGGTGAACAGGTTCAGAGGCATGATGAGAAGCATCATTTTCATCCCAAGCTAACAGCATAGACGCGGCCACACTGGAATAGTACAGGCTCAATATACTCGCAATTTGACCAAAAGGCTGGTTAGAACATCAAATCTATGTTCAAAAGATATTTCAGTCTAGTGTCCCCTTTGCTGACAGGCTTGGAAAACATTATAATAATCCTCCAGCTATTTCATTACTCGCCTCAGTCCTCAAATGGACATCCTACTTTGCAGTCTAGTAGGCATATGCTGTTTTCATTTTGATATTTCACATCTGTCAACTGATGCATATCTATTCCAACCTGGATGAACCGAGCAAAGCAAAGTTCTTTTTTTTTCAAAAATACCATAAATGTATCCATTTCCGGGATGGAATAATCATAATAAAATGGCGTTTCAGAGCTGAATCATAATAATTTCACTACCCTAATTTGCAAGGTCAAAAAAGGAAAGGTCTGTTTATGACTCGTCCTCTTGTGCAGACATTGCAGATCCTGGATCACACTTTGAAAAGTCAAACACACAGCTTCACCAAACAGAACACAATGGAGGACCTGACATTCTGACGCAGCCAATCTGGATCAAACGATGTTGGCGAGATGGTCGGTGGAATGATGAAGCTTGTCGATATCGTGCGCCGTGAGGAGGAGATGACTTGTCTCTCGGTGGTGAGGGCTGGGGGTAGTCCGAGGCCGGGAAACTGGGGTCAAAGGGCTGTCCATGCACACCTCTATGGGTTGTTCTGATGAGTGTGAGGGTCTTATACCGCTGTCTCCTGGTCCTCAGACTGCACTAACTGAAAGTGTTCTTGGTCTGTGGTGAGGAAATAAGGCACGTTAATTATAGCCTACTCAATGGATTTTTACAAAAGGCTTAGACTGGCCTTAGTTCTTTTTGTCTTTCTTGAAAGTTTTCTGTGTTTTTAAAATTTTTATTTCTTTGTTGTTTTTATTTATTTCTATTTTTTTTTGGTGGTGTTTTTTGTGTTTAAGTAAAGAAAAAAACACATTGACACAATAAGAGTAATTTAATGTTGGGAAAAAGTAAGACAGACAGAGAAAGACAGAAAATGACACAAAGAGAAAATGAAGAAGTGGGACCTACCAGTGGTGTCCTCCAAATCACCTACACAATCATAACTATGACAATGGTAACTTAGTGCTGAGAAAAAGAAAGACACAGTATTAAAGAGTGAACTTAATCAACCAGGAGAGAAACTGTAAGAGAATGTTAATCTTTGTTGCCTGCCTGACAATTTTATGAAACTTTTGATTCCTCCACTTTTGACAAACATAATAATGATGTTTGTGATCCAGTTGTTTGGTTGTTTTTTGAAATAATCATACCATTAGCAATGCAAATATTTGTGATTGAGCTGTTTTTATCTTACATTTCAATAAACATATTTTTACAGTATTGGTTAGTTTTTTTGTTTTTTAAAAAATTTCATCAATTTCTACACTAACGTTTATTATTCAGTGTTTTTTTTTTCTCCATATATCCTTCTATATTCAAAATATGTTTAATTAGTGATTAAAATTTTTTTTTTTTTTTAAACATCATTTTCAGAACACAGTTTGTAAGAGTTAGTGAAACAAACAGTGATAGAATCATTTATTGTAGGAACAAAGCAGAAAGGCAGACAGAAGTAAGGAGAGATGGTAAAGAAATACAGGGGCTGCCAATGGTTATCTTCAACACACAATAAGATAAGGGTCCTCTAAGACATTTGCACAACAATTTAATAAAAGATTACCACTTTTTTTCATGAGTACACACTCCCCCATATAATTTCTTCCATGTATAGCACTACCCCATTCAACATCATTATCATCATAATAATATTCACTATCACCATCAGCATAAACAACATAGACTCATCAAAAGAAATACATCATGTATCATCAGTCTGGTCAAAATAAATTTATTAATTCTATTTGGCTTTTTAAAAAAAATTATAAGTTCATGAAGATAAAAATGTCCCTTCAAAGCTTGTAATAGTTAAAGGCGAATTATTCTACATGCTTTAAATACTGTACTGAAAAGGGAAAGCCAAGCAAAATCCAATAGTACACCAAATCTATGCTTTAAAAAACCCACTGCAAGCAATGAAAAAAAGCTTGAGAAGAAGTGCAAAATGAAAAAAAACAACAACCTGGATTACGAGAGCACCCAACAACTGCCCCAGTAATGGGTAGCAGTTAATATCATTCAGAAAAAGTAGCAAAGCTGCCAGTCAAAATCCACCGCTGGCAATCAAAGAATAAAAAAAAGTCAATCCAACCCCATGAACAAAAGAAAGTAAAAAAAGAAAGTAAGTCAGTGAGGGCGCGAGTGAGAATCAGGTCACGCTGAAAAAAACAGGGAGGGGTCTAGAAGAGCACAGTTGCCTGTGCATATAGAAGGAGGAAGCACCAAGTAGAGCAGAGGAAATGTGTGAGAGTGAACCTGGAATGAGGGGTGGATTGAGCAGACTGGGCTCACAGAAAAACCAATAAATATACATAGCAGCTGATTGACTGATTGATTTACTGACTGATTCATTTATTTACCTGTTTGTTCATCTAATAAATTGTTTATTGCCTTATTCATGAGATCTGTTAATTGATTTACTGTCTGATTCATTTATTTACCTATTTGTTCATCTAATAAATTGTTTATTGCTTTATTCATGAGATCTATTAATTGATTTACTATCTGATTCATTAATTTACCTATTTGTTCATCTAATAAACTGTTTATTGCTTTATTCATGAGATTTATTAATTGACTTACTGTCTGATTCATTTATTTACCAATTTGTTAATCTAGTAAACTGTTTAATGCTTTATTCAAGAGATCTATTAATTCATCTAAATACTTCTCAATTTTTTAAAATTCATTTATCTATCTATAGATAGGCCCTATATTATTCACAATATCTTTTCATTTCTATCTATTTATTTATCTGTATAATAATTAACTCCTTTACTCATATGTTTACTTGTTCATCAAAATTCTTTGGAATTAATTTTTTCACTTACTTGCCTATCTATATATCTACTTACTTTTTTTACTAACTTATGTATTTATTAATCCACAAATTCATTTCATGTTTAATTTATGTGTTCATTTATTTGTTTTCCTCTTTATCTCTATTGTGTATTCGTTTACTTCTGTATTGATCTGTCTGCTAAATTATCTATATATTATTATTTATTCATTCCATTACTTTTTACTTACTTTTTTTTCTTTTAATCAGAATATTTGTTTTATTTCTATATTTTTCTGTTTTTTTATCTCAATATTTATTTACTTTTTAATGTATGCATTTATTAAAATACTTTTAAAATGTATTTATCCACAATTGTGAATGCATCTATTCACTTCTTTACCTATTTATCTATATGTATTTATTTACTTTTTTTCTTACCTGTCTGTTTATTGATCTATACAATCATTTATTTACTTCTTTACCATCTTCTTTTTACTCTTTCAGGAAGATTTTAGCATTGTCCATGGACTGTCAACCAAAAATGCGTGGTCTATTGGAAAAATCTTGCGAAGGTTTACATTAACTTGAATATTTATTTATTTATTTATTTATTTATTTATTTATTTATTTATTTATTTATTTATTTATTTATTCATTCATTCATTTATTCATTCATTTATTTATTTAACTACTTATTTATATATTCATTTATTCGTTTATTCATTCATTCATTCATTTATTTATTTATTTATTTACTTATTTATTTACTTATTATTTATTCATTTGTTCATTTATTCGTTTACTCATTTATTCATTTATTCAGGTATCTATTCAATTATTCATTTATTGTGTAGGGGTGGGTGGGTAGGAAGAGGGCAAAACGATCATCACAGCTCAGTAGGCACACTGTTTACTGTTGGAAACAAAAAAAATCATCGGGAGAAGCAATGTTTTACCAGGGTGTCTGTGGTATCAGACATTCTTTCTGGGAAGCCTAGTGCTAGAGTGCAGGTCCTACGAGGTATGAAGGCATCACTGTAAACAAGTGGATGGGTTAGGTATGGGTCGTGGATCGTTTTGAAATAAAGAGTTATGCAGTGTTAAGAGATTTTGGCCTGGCTCTCCCATTAACCTTTCTATAGTGCCAGTAATAGCACCATGACTGCCAAAACAATAACCTTTCTAAAGATAAGGACGTATTCTCTAAGTATGAAAATTGTCAAGAATAAAACAACAACGTCAATAACATTAACAGCAATAACTAAGCTTAGGGTGAGATTTGCGCTCTATAAAAAAGCGACACCCTTCAGCCTCCAAAAACCCCTATCTAACAACAACAACGACAACAACAACAACACCAACAACAACAACGACAACAACAACAACAACACCACCACCAACAACAACAACAACAACAGCAAAAATCACAACAATAACAGTCTGATTCAGGACCTCAGGTCCAGTCTGTATAAGTGAGCAGCATGTTTTACAACAACGGCAACAACAATAGCACAGCACCAACACCAACATGATGATCATAACAACAATAGGAACAGGGACAATTTTACAATCTTACACCATGACCATAGCTGCCACCCTACCCCCTTCCACGAAAGAGCCCATTTCCTTTGAAAACAAACCCATCAACCTCATTAAGCACCATTCTTAAATAAACAACACAAATAACAACAACAAAAACCAACATTGCTACCACAACTACAACCATCACCACCACAACCATCACCAACACCACCACCAACAACAGCACCTTCTCTCCAAGTAAGCGGCCACCTCTTTATCCTCTGTCAGATGAATAGCAACAGCAAAAACTACCACCACCACAATCACCTACAGCAACAACATCAACATAAATTACCACCACCACCACCACCACCACCATCAGCAACCACATCCTGCTCTTAGTTTTTGTTTTAGTAGAGGTTTTACGGCGCTCGCAACTGCATAAGGTCATATGAGTGCCAGAAGATTAGAGGTGTTACAAGAGAGTAACAAACAAAAAAGAAGAAGGGGAGAGAACGACGATAGATGTTTCATAGGAAAGAAGAAGCAAACCACACCAGAGCACCCGCCAACCATCCACTTGTCTCTTAAAGCAAGCAGCCAGCTTCTCATTCTAAAACTACCGAACAAAAAAAAACCAAACTACCAACAACAACAGCTACATAAACTACCACCATCACCACCACCATCAGCAACCACATCCTGCTCTTAAAGTATGCAGCCAGCTTCTCATTCTA